TATATATATATATATATATATATATATATATATAAATATATATATGTATGTATATATATATATATATATATATATATATATATATATATATATATATATATTGCTATGGCTGCTTATGATTTAGTTTTTAAAGAAGCTAGAAATTATGTAGATAGAAAAGGGTTTAAAGATGTTTTAATTATGGGAGATTTCAATTTTCCTTTAGTAAATTGGTCTAATGGAAATGTATTTTCTATTAATAAGAATTCAGGCATTGAACATATCTTCAGTAACACGTTAATTGACACTTTTCTATATCAGCATGTAAACACTTCAACTTTCCAAGTCTCAAATGAAATAGCAGTTAATATATTGGATTTAATTTTAACGACTGAAACTGGAAATGTATGTGCAATAGATACACAGTTTGTGCTTGGTAATACTATTAAAGGACACTTGGTAACATTTTTTAATTACTTTCTTAAAAATAAAATGAAACTTTTACCTGTGAACTGTTATAAATTTGTTTACAAAAAAGCAATTTACAAAAAATTTCTTAATTTATTTTAAATGTTGACTTGGTACATTGTACAAAAATATGCCAGTTCAGGATATGTATAATGAATTTATTTTTTACTCCAACATTGCAAGCAATTTATTTATTCCCACTACTGATGTTTCACAAATTAGAAGTATGGAAACTCCTTGGATAAATAAATGACTTAAATACCTGATTAGGAAAAAGAAAAATTTGAGATACAGAAACTGTGCTCGAAAATGGAAAGATGCTAATTTGAGTAAAGATCAGGCTTTTCCAGGAAAGCCTTGTTTGTCCACGCATATAATAAATTTTTCTGACTATCTGACCACGTTTTATTATTATGCGTTTCAAGATTTCGCGCCAAAACAAAGCTAAACGAAAATACCGCAAAAATGCAAGCAATCTTAAAGTAAATAACAGCAATCTGTTTGTGCTTTGAAATTAAAAAATTAATGTATATTATTAAAAAAAAATTTACCTACATTTTATTTATTTATTTTTTTAGGGTGGTAGTTATTTTAGCTATGAAAAATTAAATCAATAAGAAAAATCAAATCAAAGAGAAAAAGATTAATGTTTAAAGAAAATAAAAGGACCTTTTATTGTAAATTTGTTTATGACTTTTATCAGTCAGTAATACTTTAAAATTCACGATAGAACTATAAACAATTTTTAAATGTTTTGTAAATACATTTAAATGTTTAAGTGTATTGATTTAAATGTTTGAATGTATTGATACGCAAGAAAACACGAAAACGATTGCTATTCATTAGTAAAATATGTTGTTGTTTTTTTTAAAACGAAAGAAAATTTTATTGTCAAACGATCGAGTTGTTTATTTTGCAATCATTAATTGACATTGTGAACGAGTGTTGATATATAATAATGTCCCGAAGGAACTGTTTTCGTAACAATGACAACAGAAGCAATGCAATTATTTTTTTAACTTCTTTCGTAATTACAAAATTATGCAATTGAATAATTTCAACGTAATAAAAGGCGAGCATTGACTCAGTATAATCAGTTTAGAATAAGTCGAGAAAGAACTTTTTTCACATTAAAATTTTGTTATATTTAAAATCTGAAATAATATATTTAATAATTAAAACAGTAACTTATTTTCTTGTCAAAGTATTGGGAAATAAAGTCAACGCCTTTACATAAACTTTCGTAATAACTAAAGTAAATGAAAAAGTTTAACCAAGAATGTCTAGCGTAAATAATGAATCAGTTTTTTAATACATTGTCTGATAATGTTCGTGAATAAATTACGTATTAAGTCTTTTTATTTTCGTGAAAACTTTACGACTTATCGTCGTCTTTCCTTTGACTTGTATCAAATTTCGTAGCTGAAAATAGCAACACTTAAAAAAGCAAACAAAAACAGTATAAAAAGTTTGAAAAAAATGTTCAAGACTTTTTTTTTTTTGTGACAAGAATTTTTTTTTTTTTTAATTTTTTTTTTTATTATCAAAAAATTTTTCTTACATCCAATTTCAATTTTATATTTTGTTTAGACTTTGTTTCCTTTTTTTAATATTATTTTTTATTCTCTGTGAATAATTTCCGCTTTCACACGAAATATTGCCGCGGTCACGTTTTCTGAAAAACTTATTCTATGCGTGGACAAACAAGGCGACCGCACGCCCTTCCTGGGAAAGCCTAGTAAAGATTATAAAATACTATGTCGGATTATAAAATCTGAAGTGAAGCGTTCTTAAATAAATTATGAAATGAAATTAATTAAAAAAGCAAAGCAAAATCCAAAATTGCTATATAAATATATTAACAATCAGTTAGTGGTAGAGATTCAATCTTTTAGAAGTAATTGATTTTATAACGTTAAACATCGAAAATCATACTGCAGTTGATGTTGTTCTACTAGATTTTTCAAAGGCCTTTGATACAGTTCCTCATAACAGACTGTTACTAAAACTAAGAGCTTATGGTATTGATGGATTAGTACTAAAATGGATTGCA